AAAGCTCAAACTCCTCCAAAACTCAACGCTCCAAGACTCCTAATCTCTGAGCCCTAAACCCTGCCAGCCAAAAACCTGTTTCCACCCGAAGCCAGAACCCTAAACCCCAAACCCCAAACCCCAATCCCCAAACCCCAAACCCTAAACCCTAAACCCTAAACCCTAAACCGGCCCTAAACCCTAAACCCTAAACCCTAAACCCCCAAAAGTGCAGCTCAGACCCTGATTGGGTTCACGGCCTTCGGCTGGCTCCTCGCCGAGGTGGACACTCTTGCCTTGCAGCGTTTAGGGCTTAGGGTTTAGGGTTTAGGGTGTAGGGTTTAGGGTTTACGGTTCAGGGTTTAGGGTTTAGGGTTACCTTGCAGCGTTGGGTCCTAGGTAGGGATCTGTATTCGGAGTCCCGTACTATCGGAAGCCCTAAGCCCTAACACTCTGAAAACCCTGAAAACTCTGGAGCCCTAAATTCCCTACAGGCCCTACCCTCTACCCTGAAAACCCTGAAACCATTAGAGACCTAAATGCCCTAAAAACCTAAACCTTTTGGATCGTCAGGGCTTCAGGGTTTTTATGGCTCAGGGTCGGGGAGATGCAACCAAAAACCCTGTCAAATCCACAAGCTAAACACGTTCCGGCCGCCGTGGTTTAGACCCTCTTCATCATTCTAAGGGTTGGGGTTTTAGGGTTTATGTGGGGCGTTTCCGATGCCGGCTGAAAGTCCTCGACGTGTTGGCTTTCTGTTTGGGTGAGACGTGGACTGAAAGCCCCTAGTTGTGTTCAACATGTGCTTTGGGGTTTAGAGTTTAGGGCTTGTATGCCGGGTGAGTGTGTGTAGATGTTGTGGGGGGGGGGAGGGGGAGGATGGGGAGGGGAGTGGGCTTTAAGGAGTGAACGCAAGGAGAAAGACGCCGCGTCACGCTTTCTACTTGTCACGCTTCTGGTATGTAGCATGCGAGTTCCCACTCGCCAGGTCATCGATCGCCACAACGAGAGCAAGGAAGAGATGTGGAAGGAGTATGCCAGGACGTGACCCCATAAACATCCAAAGCCCTAAACCTTAAGACCCTAAGCCACACAAGCGCCTCATAAGCCTCAAACCCTCGGTTTAGTGTTTAGGGTGTAGGGTGTTAGGGTGTTAGGGTTTAGGGTTTAAGGTCCACAGACCTTATAGTGCAAACCTCCAAACCCATCCCTCATAGCCCCTAAGCTCCGAAGCTTGTAGCCTGCAAGACCTGAACCATGAGGCGCACACCAGTATCGCAGTCGAAGGCGTGATAAATAGCTGAAAGATACACCTTAAGATTGCATCTCACACATGGGGCCCTAAGCCGCAGAAATTAGGAAACACAAAGGGCAGTTTGTTTGGTTTGTCTAACTAGGTTTCCGGGCAACCTAGTGTGATACTGAGTTCAAGAAGACGAAAGGCATCAGAATTTGCAGAACTTCAGAGCCTCACTTGGGTTGAGGAAAAACATGTGGGCTGTTCAAACTATAGCTTCTTTGTTTGGAAATAAGGCTTGTACGGTGTAACTGGCTTCATACGGCTCACGGGCTTTGTTTCCCCATTTCATGTTTTCTTTTCTCGTGCTTAAAAGCTGTACAACTACGTAGGGGTACTTGGGAATGATTTTAGTTTTTGGGTACTATATTTCCTAAGAAGCCGCCAAAAATGATGGGCATGTCCCACAATAGGGGTACCCCGTTTATACCCCAAACATAATAGAATACCCTTAAAGGGACTCCCACAAAGAGCACCCCCTATTTTCGGAAACCCCCAAATCTGTTTGATTAGGACTATGAACCTCCTTAGTATGATACCAGAAGGTTGAGCCTGAAGGGTTTAGGGTTTAGGCTTTAAGGTTTAGGACTCAGGATTCAGGGTTCAGGGTTCAGAGTTCAGGGTTAGGGTTTAGGGTTTAGGGTTTAGGGTTTAGGGTTTAGGGTTTAGGGTTTGGGGTTTGGGGTTTGGGGTTTGGGTTTAGGTGCCCTCAACCCCTGAACCTTAAACCTGCTTGGGGACCCGAAACCCCCAAGCGCCAGGACGCACATGACGTTTACCCAGGCAACCGTGAACCTTGGCAGTGCTTGAGCAGGGCTACTTTTCAAGCCACGTGTTTTCTGCTTAGGGTTGAGGGTGGAGGGTTTAGGGTTTAGGGTTTAGGGTTTAGGGTTTAGGGTTCGTGGGGTTTAGGGTTTTTTTGTGTTTAAGGGGCTTTCCAAGCACCTGAATGTATTTGTAGGGCTCAAGGCACTTTGTAGGCTTCTGGGGACTTCACGGCCATTAGGGTTCACAGGAGGTTAACGGGGCTTTTGTGTACGGGGTGCAGGATGTACAGGGTTTTCAGGCTTATAGGGTTTAGGCTTTAGTGGTTAGGGCTCATTCAGTTTAAGGGGCTGGGGTTTTGGGGCTTCGTGTACCTTAAGCCTTGAACCTCAAAACCGAGGCCGTCCATGTTGCAGAATCTTTCAGGACACGCTGGAGGGCTGAACCCTCTCTCTCCTTCACCCTAAACTGGGTACTGCTTTGGGATAGTTTCAAGTTTCCCTTCTTTTCTTTTTAAGGGAACCTATTCATAAACAATCTTCAAAGGGCTTTGAAAGCACCACCCAGTAAATAAGCCTTTTCACCCCAGAAATCTCTACATTCCTAAAACGCTTGGGAGAGCCAAGGAACAGGAACCAGCAGGATGCGAGGGGCCTCAGCCATCCCTGATCTTGCGGTTTTGGGGTTTAGGATTTGGGGTTTGGGGTTTAGGGTTTAGGGTGTAGGGTTTAGGGTTTAGGGTCCAGGGTTTAGGGTTTAGGGTTTGGGATTTAGGGTTTAGGAGTGGACCCCGGGGGTTTGTATTGTTTCTGGGCCCTCCAGGGCTCGCTCTTGTAGGGCTTAGGATCTGTGATTTAGAGACGATGTGTGTGTGACTTCCCGGTGCTTAATTGGGGTGGACGGCAGAGGGGTTTAGGGCTTAAGGTTTAGGGTCTAGGGTTTAGGGTTTTGGGTTTTGGGCCAAGTTTAGGGTTTAGGGTTTAGGGCAAATTAAAGGGTGAAGGGCGAAGGGTAAAGGGTTTAGGGTTTGGGGCTTATGGTTTAGGACCGTAGTTAAGGGGAGGAGTGAATCTGGGCAAGTCTATGTTGTGAGGAATGGCGACCAAAGTATCCGAGAGCGCAAGACCTGACCCCAAACCTCAATTGTCAGAAAGCCTAGGCTGCCCCACCTTAACCCTAAACCCTAAACCCTAAAACTGACCCTAGACCCTAAACCCTAAACCCTAAACCCTAAACCCTAAACCCTAAACCCTAAACCCTAAACCCTAAACCCTAAACCCTAAACCCTAAACCCTAGCCCCACCTCTCAGGCTTAGGGCTCTTTCTGTTCGAGGGGCTTTCCTTTCTTCGCATGTTCAAAATGCAGTTTCTCATGGAGAGTTGGGTGTCTGACTTTTTGAAGTATGGCAAAAAGACAAAAATTCTGAACCCTAAACCCTGGTGTGTTAAGATGTAAGGTTTGTGCGTGGACACAGGCGCCCGACTTGACCAAATGTGCGATTATAAGTTTCAGGGGTTAGGGTTTCAGGGTTTCTGACTTTCAGGGATTAGAGCTTAGGGTTTAGGATTTGGGGTTTACTGAAGGGTTTAGGGCAGATTTGTGATGAAAGGGTTCAGAGCTCAGAGTGTAAGTGTTTCATGGTTCCGGTTTCGGGGGTCTAAGGCTGCCGTTTGGGGTTTAGGGTTTAGGGCTCAGGGTTTAGGATTCAGGGTTTCGGGTTTACCCCTAAACCCTCAACCCTAAACCCTAAACGAGACCCCAGAACAACCCAGAAAACCCAGGCCCCAAGTAGTCATGTCTGCCACCGTCTGCCAAGCCCCTCATCGACATCATGATGCCCTAAACCCTAAGCCCTGAGCCCTAAACCCTAGACCCTAAACCCTAAACCCTAAACCCTAGCCCTAAACCCTAATTAAACCCTAAACCCCAAACCATAAACCCTAAACCCCAGGCCTTCAGAGACATCATGATGAAAGCCCGCCGAAAGCGTTTGGGCTTGCCTGCAGAGGCCGAGTTTTGGGGCTTCGGGTTTAGATACAGGGGCCTTAATCATGAGATTTGTTTTTTTTTTTTTTTTTTTTGGGGGGGGGGGTGGTATTTTCACACAATTATGAAGGGACATAAGGGAATGCTATTAGTAATCCTTCCGACCCGACATTAGATGTTAAGGTCTGCCCCCTTGGGATTTGTGTGCATTTTCCCTTTTTCGGGTTTAGGATTTAGGGTCTCGGGTTTAGGGTTTAGGGTTTAGGGTTTGCCCTTGGGATGCTGTGTTTTTGTTCCCTCCTTTGGCCTAAGAAGATGATATTTAGGAATCCTTTGGTATGCTCCCGCTTATACTAACCTTAATGGGGTTTTAAGGACTGTTAGTACACGGGAGAACATCCCAAGGAATCTTGTTTCAGAAGGTTTTAAAGGGCCAACCTACTTCAAGCCTGCAAGGATATGGGGGTTTACGAAAATACCCCAACCATAGACCCCCAAATAGTAGGATCCCCCGATAATAAGGACCCCAATAAGGTACCCCTAAACCCTAAAGCCTAAACCCTAAACCCTAAACCCCCTATTTTCAGAAACCCCCATATCTCGCGCTACGAATTGGGGACTTGGGGTGTATAGAGTTACGGAAAATAGACCCTGTGAAAAACCAGCCCATGAAGACTAACCCCCCAAACCATTCTGAGGATTTAGGGTTTAGGGTTTAGGGTTTAGGATTTAGGGTTTAGGGTTTAGGGTTTACGGTACTTGGCCGGCCCCGCTGCCCTCGACCCAATACACCAAGCAGGCGCCAGGCAGCGTCGAGATCAACGATCCCTTTGACGAGTGAAGTCGCAAACACAAAAAAGGGGCATTCTGGGGAGTAGGGTTGAGGGTTTGGGGCTTCAGTCTCGCGAGTGGCTTAGCGTTTGGGTGTAGTCAGAATGCCGAGTGGTTTGCTCTTGATCCACGTTTTTTTGACTACGACGCTTTAGCTTCAATCCTAGGACACCGGGCAGGCGAACGAGATTTGGCCGTTGGAGGGTATCGAGGTCTGAATATCTAGGGCTCGAATTGAGGTGTTAGGGTTTAGGTTTCCCCTAAACCCTAAACCCTAATTCAACCCTAAACCCTAAACCCAAGTTTTTAGGGAATGGCGCCAAGGCGTCCTAACCCCTCAGCCGTGTGAGGATTTGGGCTTTGGGGTGTGATAGGTCCAACATCGCGGGGTGGCCAGGCTCACTAGTGTAGTCGAAACTACAGTGGCCGCTCCTACTCTAAGCAAGGCCTTTTCTTCCTTGCTGCCGGCTTGAGCCACCGCATGGTGGCAGCATATATCCTGAGGGAAACTTCGGAGGAAGTTCCTTGTGCAACTCTGCTTTCCTGAGGGAAACGGTTTGGGAATCAGCCTCAACACAAAACACACCGGTCACACTCTAAATTCCCAAAACGTTAGGAACATACTCTCGGAGAAGCGTCTTGCTTCCCGCTCCAGGGCCTTGGCCTGAAGAGCATGTCCTTCCTCTGCTATCGCCCAAAAACCTTTGTCAAGAACGTATCTTAGATATGTTCCTGGATGCTGCTTCGTAAGTGGATCCGATAACATAGATCTTGTGTCGATCCAGCGGATGGTTCCGCCTGTCTGTGCCAAATCTGCCTTTATGACTGCAAGGTCAATGGCAGTTCGCTTGTCGCTAACATACGAAGCTGTACACGCGCATTTGTTAACGGCATCAAAAAGAGATTTGGAGTCCACTGCAGCAAGAAAAGGTAACCTACCTGCTACTTCTCTCCAGTCACTCGCCGAAAGCATGCCGTAAAAGGCTTCCATGAAGAGTAATCGGTGCCAGTGAATGCTGCCGAGCCCTGCTTGTAGAGCTTGTCCTTCCGCAGCAAGCGTGTCCACCGTCTTCCTCTTCAGCCGGTAACTCTTCCACGAAGCCACCGTAGCCATCGCCGGCTGCTCCGTCTCGGAAAGAGAGCGGTCGTGGTACAGGATGATCTGGCCACCCTGGCTGCTGAGATTCTGGAGTTGGGCGAGACTGCTGTGGATCTTCTGGTTGGTGATCTTCTCGTCGTGACATTTGTTGAACACTGTCCTTCCTGTCCACGGTTGGTCTTGAAGAACTCGTATTCCATGGCCATCGGACCAGTCATCTTCAACCATGCCACTCTTGATCTCCCCGTCGGGCTCAGGAGCGAAGAAGGAGATCTGTCTCTTCCTGTCCAGGCTGTGGAGGTCTGGTCCACCTGGCGCCGCGCCAGGGTGGAACGTCGTGCGCCTTGGTTGAACGTGGTGCCTCACCCACTCTCCTTCGGTTTCTTCCCAGTAGTCATCGGGATGGTCTTCAATCCAGGGCTGATCTCTAGTGTTACCCCAGGCAGCATCCGTCACTACCGAGATGCGCAGTCGTTCCGGCGCAATCGGCATGACCTTGATGCCAAGATGGGCGTACTTTCTAGCCTCTTCACTGATCTTGTTGGCTTCGACCAGGTCCTGAACTCTGGGCTCTGGGAAGGCTTGTTGCAACAAGGCCACTCTTCCGGCAATATCACACCGGGTCTCCTTTGACAACCAGGATAAAACACCCAATGAACTTCTCAAGGCTTCAATTTCTTGGGGGGTGCACTTGGAATACCGCTGTTGCTTTCTTTTTCGGGTCAGGGCTATGATCTGGATCTTCTCCTTCACGTAGAAGGCCTGACTCACCTTGATGGACCCGTCGGCCTGCAGTTCAATGTCCTTACCAGTGAATCTGCCCGTGCCCCTCTGGTTCTTGCCTAACTTGTGCTCGGCGGCTATGCTTGCTATGTTGGCCCAATGTCTTTCGTTGCCACCGTGTAACAAGTCATCAGTCGCAACACCGATGACACCTTCAAGTTCAGGGGTTTCGGGATCAGCACCGCCATGCAAGAAGTACAGACACGGATCTGCTTGACTTGCCTTGTATCCTAGTTGTCTGAGCTTTCGGTCGAGATGCTGGTACCAAGCGTAAGGCCCGTCTGTGAGACCATAACAAGTTTTCAGCAGTCGCAACAACTGACTTGCTTTGGCGCCTGGTATGCCCTCCTTCGGCTGTTTGCAGTAGAGCTCACGCTTGATGGCATCCCCTGAATGAAAGGCTTGTGTGAAATCCAAGAAACCTGGATCCCAACCCAAACTGGCGAGAACTTGAAGCAGGAATATCACTGTATCCCTGTTGATCTGAGGCGTGGTGCTTTCAACGTCCAGCGCCGATTCTTCTGAGTATCCCTTCATGACATGTCGACACTTTGCTTTACAAGGGCCATGAGTGTCATCATTCAGCAACAGCCCTTCACTCTCAGCGCCGGCGACCTCTGCTGGCTCCAAGGGCTTCTTTGTCAAGACGTATCTGGACTCCATCACTTTCTCTGGCTTCTCTCTGAGAATCTGCTCGGACTCAGCTGAGCTCAGCAACTCGTATGCCCTGGTGCCGAGATTGTTGTTGATTTCTTTCAGAATGGCTCGCTGCAACTTGACCGCATCCGCTCCTTTGAAGTCGGTCGCTCTGACCTCCTTCTTTTGTCGAGCCCTTGCTAACGTTTGAAGATGTAGAGCATAAACTTCAAGAAGATGTACTCGACTACGTTTTCCAGGAGGTTCTGGCTCTCTGTCTTCTGGACCCCTCTTGTTGTCAGCAAACCCAGACGACCCTGTAGCACTTGCCCCTGAAGAACCCTGGCCTCGCTCGTGGTTCTCATTCTCGTCGACGTCGATGCCGCGGTCGAAGAGCTCTTCACCTGGCAGGAAGGGAAGAGGGCCTACAGGTTCAAGAGCGGGAACTTCAGGTTGTTCTCTTTCTGGTTCACCTCTCGGTTCGGTTGGGGGTTCTGTAAGACCAGGAGGAGGCCCTAGTGGTTCTTTTGCATGTTCATATTCTCCGGTTTTCTGTCGTACTCTACGTAGAGGAGGGACTCCGGATACTGGTTCAGGGCCTTGGAGAGGATTAGTATCATCATGTGGTTCGTTGGCTTGGAGATCATCTTCAAGTTCGCCCGGCATCTCATAGTCTCCTGTTAGGTCTACGAACCCCTTCTTTGGAAGCTTCTCGAAGTCCTGCCGGGCTTTGGAAATACCACGCAACCAACCTGAAATGGACATATTCTCTTCAGCTGTTGCATGTCGAACACGTTCAGGGGCTGCCTTAATCAAGGTGTTGCTATAGGCGATCCAGATGGCATTGGGAAGAGATGTCATCACGATTCGCCCAGGCCCAGTCCAATATGATTGCCTCGTCTTCTTTGTGCTTCCAGCGCCCCTCCGCCAAAAGTAGACTGCCTGGCCGACTTCGAAATCGCAAAGCTTACGTGGTCCAGCTAGTGTAGCGGCTCTCAGGGCTTGGTCACAGTCCGATTCATGAAACGCTACAGCAGCCGCCTTTCTCATCTTCATGGATCTAGTCACGTCTCTGTCTCCCATGACAATGCGGCCTGCCATGGTGTGGTCATCTGCGCCACCAGTCAAGAGGCCACCTGGCAGACGAGGTGTGTATCCGATCACGCGCTGGATGGGAGAGTAACCCCCTCGAAGAAGCAACCTATTTCGTGTCATACAGGCTACGTCTACAAGTTCTTTCCACTCTTCTCGGCTTTGGCACTGGTAGTCGAGCATGGACTTGTAAAGGATGTTCTTGAACACTCCACCGGCCCGTTCTGTGAGGCCTCGTTGAGTTGGAGTTTCCAGGGAACTTGGCAACGCCTCGCTTCCATCGTTCTCCACCTGACGGCGAAACTCGGCTTTGAACTCTGTTCCCAGGTCAAACATAACCTTGCGGGGCACCCCGAAGAACCGAACCCACTGCCGATATGCTTTTCTTACTTCAGCTGCTGATTCTTTGTCCATAGGGATCACCAACTGGAAGTGTGTATGAAAATCAATGATGTTCAAGGCTGGCACAGCTTGATTCTGATGGTCACGAAGATGTACTGTGTCAACCCCAACCCATTCATTGATGAAGAGTTCTTCCTTGGGCGGTGCGCCTTTTCGCGCCGGATCTGGAAGCTGATATGCCTCACAGGTGGAGCACCGGAACTGCTTGGCTGCTTCGATAACTTCTTCCGACGCTTTAGACTGCCTGAGAATACGAAGAAAACGACCATGCTCAGGATGTCCCAGGCCTTCGTGAGCCTTCCGAATCATTCTCTCTAAGGTCACACGTGCCATGCCGGGAAAATGTCTCATGTGCCGATCTGCATGCTGATCCAATCTGGCTTGGTATATGCTGAGGTAACGAGTGTTGGGCTGCAAGCGGGTGTCTTGGGCCTTATCTTGCCAGCGGACCTCGTCCTCTAGCAGGCTCCAGTCTGCGCCATTCCAGGTCCAAGAGGTTCGCCAAGGGAGCCGCCAGGCCTCATGGCCGGGTTCGGGCCCATTGACCTTCTCGGTGTGTTCGTCCAAGTACATCCAAGCACCTGTGTCCAGCTTTTTCCAACCAACTTGCTTCAGCATGTCTTCGGTGACCCCGAAGGCCTCGGGCATCATTTCTCGCGCTGGTGGGACCTCTTCGCGATGTCCTATTTCTTCTGGCTCTTCCAGAGGCATTGCTTCAGCTCCATCCATTTCCTCCAGCTCCTCAGGGAAAAAGTAGCACTGATCTCTTTGAAGGTCTTCTCGTGCTACGCTCGCCGCCTCGACCAAGTCAATCTCCTGCGGCGCCTTGCCGACAGTTCTACTGTAGGCCTGGAGGATGGCACCCACCAGTTCGCTGGGATAGCGCTTCCCTTGACATCCACGGCCCAGAGCCTCTGCGACTCTACGGTTGTTGGTCAGCAAGCTAGCGGCCTTCCTCTGTTGTTGGCCACTTCGACTGACAAGACCATTTCTGCACTGTTCCGCAGTGACTTGTAGAACGCCAGGTTGCTCAAGCAGCCGCTGCACTGAAGGCATCTTCCATGACGAAGTGCTGCACGAATGTTTAAAAACAAACGTCATTCCTTGTTCATGGCAAAGTTGACACACCTTCGTAGCGAAATTGAGGAGCACCTTCCCCTGCTTAAGCTTTTTGAGGTATCTTCTGAGAGCTTCTAGGTTCTTCTTGCGGAAGTTGTCTAGCAGGTGGTTCAACGCGCTGAAGCCATCACATGGCGGAAACACGATGACAAGTCCTGGACGTTCATGCTTCAGGTAGGTCAGCACGGAGTGCTGGACTGAAGGCTTCAACAAGTCGTGGACAAGCGGCAAATCAAACGCCTTGCCTGGCCGAAGGCGAAACTGAGCTGTGCGTCTACTGAGCCTATGTGGATTGTAAATCTCAGACACTGTCCGCAGCTCCTGCTGGCTGAGACTAAAGAGCTCCTGGTAGTGCTTCTGGCGCTTACCGCTGGCTTGTTGCAGCTCGCTTCTGGCTCTTTCTTTTAGCTGCTGGAAAGGCTCGCTCGGCTTTGGATGGCATAGACAGCGTTCTACTTCTGTCCATTGCCGCTCTGCTTCCTTGAGCACACTAAGCACCTTTCGGCTCTTGGATTTGCCAAGGTCCTTGCTCAGCCCCGGCGCTCTCGACGTAGCATGGCCTGGAACTTCTTGAACTGCTGGAACTCGGCATAGTCGTCCGTTGACTGGTCGCTCTGGGCTGTCGCCTCCATCTCTGGGCCCAGCTGGCTGCTGGCCCCCGCCGACATTGGTCTGCGTGCCTCCCGCTTGAGGATCTTCTGGCAGTCCCGACATCTCGTGATGAACACATAGCCGTTGGAGCCCGCATGGCACGTGAACTGATGTAGGCAGTTGTCTTGGCTGGACTCCTGTCCTCGTGGCATCGAGCTGCTGGAAGGTGACTTGGTCCCGGGCTGCTTCGCCGTCGTTGTCTGCGAACCTTTGGCCGTCGGGGAAGCTTTGGTCGGAGGATTGTGGTCGAAGTTGGAGTGCCTTGCGCCCAAGCTTCGTGATTCTGCGTGGGTCTCCAGTTCGGCTGCTCCTCCAGCCACATGAAGAAGTTGCATCGATGGGCGACGTCCCGCCAGTTTGGGCATCTCTTGAAGAGTCGCCCGTGGTTCCGGCCCTCCTTCCTGGTTTCCAGGGTCACGGTCTCGAAGCCACAATGGCACCGCTCCACCACTGGACTGTTCAGCTCTGTCTCGTCGTGCACCAAGATGAAGCCGGCGGTGTTTGTCGAAGCTGCGTCCTCTGGACTCACTTCCCGACTCCACGGTCGTTGAGCATCCCACTGATGCTCCTCCAGGCCCTCTACCTCTCTGCGCCCCAAGTTCTGCTTGATGTGCTTTTGCATTTGCCTCAGCTCGTGTGTCGTGAGCCGTGGCAGGTCGCTGACCATACGGCGGTACAGTTCCTCTTGGGGCCCTCGAACACACAAGTGGTTCAGAACTGACTGCTGCATGGCATGCGTCATGGCCATCATGAAGCGCAGAACCATGCGATTCCACTGCCAGTCCGCGTCGCTCGGTTCTCTGGGCTCCTGGAACTTGCGAGCTCTCTTCTCCATGGGCATACTGGTGCGAAGGTGCTGAGGATGCACACGTGGATGAGGTAAAAGCAAAGGGTTGATTGCTGAGCCGATCGTCAGAATCAAGGCGGAGATGGTGCAGACCCTCGGGCTCGGACTCTCTAAGACATTCCAGGGCCTGACTAAGTTCGCGATGCATTTGTGGACTAAAATTTTGGAGGGGAACCCTTAAGGCTCCAGTCGGGCCAATGTGGAGAGGCACTCGGTGCTGATATCTCTTGAGCTCGAGTTCCAACCCTCGAACTGGATCAAGGTGGAGAACCGATCTGCAATGTAGTAAGAACGGCAGAGAAAGCAAGAAGGGCGCATGTTTTGTGGCTTCGTCCTCGAACACGGCTGGCCTCAAAACACAACCCTTTGGACCCAGACTTGTTGGAATGCACGCAACCTTGTCAGTCTTGGACACCCCGTTAATGGACTTGAAGTGATGGGTCTCGTTCTTAACTACCATGCCAAGCGGTGCTGGTTGCTGCTCCAATATCTTCTTCAGGGTTTCGCTTCCTACTGCAGTCCTCTGGCAACCTGTGTCAACTGTTGCACATGCTTCTTCAGGACATTCTTGATGCTTGTGAACGTAAAACACCTCATGCATAAGACTGCGGGCCTTGTATGCGGAGTTGAGCTGGGAGTCAAAACGTGCTCCGGAACTGCTACTGGGCTCATTGCTCGGGTCCTGCGTCTTTGCCTGGGCCGCGGCCTTGAGCTTCAGAAAGTCATTGAAGCCGAGAAAAAGTGCTTCATGGGTAGGCTCTTCAAGAAGATGAACTCCATGGTCGCCAGACTTCTGCGGCGGCTTCTGGTCCTTGTTGGGGCACTCTCTGTGCCAGTGCCCGACTTGTCGACAATGAGCACATCGTGTGCGCTTCTTCAGCGCGGAGATGCTCACTTTGTAGGAGCCTTCAAGGCCACTGTGCTTCGAAGGTGGTCCCTGCCGAGAACTGTAGCTGGAACCACTTCCATATCCTCGGGCCAGGTTCTTGGCCTTCTTTGCTTGGTTCACCGCCACAAAGCTGCGCTTCTTCACCGCATGCTCGCGCACCATTGTCGAGAGGATCTCTTTCGCCTCGTCCTCGTCGAACGTGCCATTGTCATACTCCCCGGACTCATCTCCAGGGACCTCGCCGTCGAGCTCCTCAATCGCGCCCAGGAGGACCTCGATGCCTTCGTCTGGTCCGTCTCCGTGGAAGTCCTCGTAGTCCTGAGTCGCTGTCTCGGGCTCGACGGTGTAGTAGGCGTTGGCAACGGGCTTCTTCTGGACCTGGCTCTGCGCGGACTGGCGAAGGTCAAGGTTGGTCTCGTGAACCCTCACCCACTCCTTCACATCCTTCTGGCTTAGCTTCCCTTGGGTGAAGTTCATCAGTAGCTTGACCTCCTCCTGGTTGAGCTGGAGCGCCATGGTGAGCAGGAATCCAAGGTATTCGGAAGGAAGACTGATAGAATGTTCATTCAGCTTGCGCACGGCTATCTCCCAGCGGGCAAAGAACTCCTTGTGGCCTTCGTTCTTGTTCCGCCGGATGGCGTACGTCACCTTGAACAGGCTGTTCAGCATATCCTCCCTTTCGTCCTCGCCATAGAGCTCCTTCGTGTCCATGAGCTTCAGCATCTGCTCGCCGTTGTCGTTGGCTTTCATCCATGCTTCGTCCTTGGCCAGGTACTTCAGGTCGTCAAAGGGAACGCCGGTCAAGTTCTTTAAGAGCATCGGCCCTCGGCTCCGTGGCTTCGTCTTCGTCGTAGCCAACCACAGCCGAGCCCTGACCAGGTAGTCCTTGAACGGCGACGCGCCGTCCCAGGCTGGAGGTGGTCCAGCATTGCTCCTGCCACCGCCAGCCTCGTCATCGTCATCGTCATCGTCATCGCCCCTTCGGCGCGAAGCCCTGCCTCTGGAACGACTGTCACGATTCAAGAAGCGGAGAAACTGCTGGTACTCTTCTGCGTCGGTCGCCCAGCTGCCGCCTCCAGCTCTAGAGCCACGAGGAAGCTGAGCGTCATGCCAGGGATCTTCTGGTTCCTGGCTTTGAGGCTCTTCAAGGCCTGTGTCGTCGTCTGGCACTTGGGGTTCGCCGTCAGCCGCGGCCGTGGCCATGCAAGCAGGAAACAGCGGAGGTTCTAATTGGGAGCAGTACCCGTACTAGGCCCCCAGGATCAGAACTAGGCCCCGCTACCACTGTAGTCGAAACTACAGTGGCCGCTCCTACTCTAAGCAAGGCCTTTTCTTCCTTGCTGCCGGCTTGAGCCACCGCATGGTGGCAGCATATATCCTGAGGGAAACTTCGGAGGAAGTTCCTTGTGCAACTCTGCTTTCCTGAGGGAAACGGTTTGGGAATCAGCCTCAACACAAAACACACTAGGGATTAGGCTTTAGGCTTTAGGCTTTAGGCTTTAGGCTTTAGGCTTTAGGCTTTAGGCTTTAGGGTTTAGGGTTTAGGGTTTAGGGTTTAGGGTTTAGGGCAGCAAGAGGAGTGTGGGTGCAAAGAGCACACGACTAAGGGCGTAGAGCCTCAGGCCCAAAACTAAACCGTCATCTCCACATCCCAAAACCACAAGCCCCACAGTTTTTAGCCCCAGACCCCTGATAAACTTAGTAGCTGAAATGAGTACACTTTACACTTTTTGGGATACTATAATCCCTTATAGAGCTGAAAGTGTGCACTTTTTTTGGGGCTTATGAACTCAGGAACTCAGAAACTAAGGAAAGCATGACTTAAGTTCGCACCATGAGACAGCAAAAGGTACTCTTCAGCCTAACCGTTGAGTAGTCCTAAGCCCCAAGCCAGCAATGGGCCTGTCTCCCCCTAAACCCTAAACCCTAAACCCTAAACCTTAAACCTTAAACCCTGAACCCTAAACCCTAAACCCTAAACCTTCCGGGACTTCGGGGAGAGCACCGCTCGCGCCGCTTTCCCAGCCAGTTGTCAAGGCTTGATCTCGGTTTCACCTCTGCTGCCAGCAGCTGGGGTGCGGTTCGGGTTTAGGGTTTAGGTTTTAGGGTTTAGGGTTTACGGTTTAGGGTGCAGGGTGTCAACTACAAGTGGGATTAGTGCACGCAACGGCACATATCGCAAACGTGTTTCTTCCATTGCTGGGCAACCCTCCCCTGCCTGCAGCTGTGATGCACGTCCTGTGGAGGCCTGATCTCTTTCCTGGGGTGTCGGGGTGTCGCGGTTTAGGGTTTAGGGTTTGGGGTTTAGGGTTTAGGGTTTAGGGCCTAGGGTTTAGGGTTTACGGTAGAGGCGGGTTGCCTCCAAAACCTCCTCCAAAACCCTTAAATAAGGACAATTCCCTCACATCATGTTTGGGACCGGTGGGGCAGCTGCTGCGGCTGAAGGCTTATAAGGATGTGCAAGGCAGTGGTGAACAAAACTCATGCAGTTCATTCGTAAGCTCTTTCACATCTTTCTCTCTGTCCCTCAGCGTTTATAGAAGGATTTCTATGAAGTTAAAATGCAAGGAATTCCTTCCCTAATCCATTTCATGCACGTAACGCGTGATGGAAACACATTCGTAATCACACTAAAAGCACAAAGCATTAGATTCAAGGGTCGCGAGAAAGACACCAGCTACACCATTAACCCAGTATATGATTACTATTGGGAGGGCAATATAATGTAGTAAGTGAAGCTTCCGTGCCGCCCTAAACCCTTCGTTTTGGGGTTGAGGGTTTTGGGGTTAGGGGTCCCTGAACCCCTGGAAGCACCTCAATAGCCCTAAACCCCAAACCCTAAACCCCCAAACCCCAAACCCGAAACCCGAAACCCTGAACCCTAAACCCTAAATTCCTAAACCCTAAACCCTCAACCCTGCGCCCCTAAACCCCTTATAAACGCACCTCAATCAGGCTTGGCGGTCTCCTGACAGCGCTCCTCCAGCCCAGCCGCGGCGACGGCGAGTTGGCTCCGCGGCTTATGCAGTAGGGTTTAGGGTTTAGGGTTTAGGGTTTATGGTTTAGGGTTCAGGGTTTAGGGTTTAGGGTTTAGGGTTTGTTCGGGATTTACGGGTTGGCTTTGGGCTTTTTGGGCCTTTTGGCTCTCGGGCTTAGAGGGCTTAGGGGGCTTTTAGGGTTTAGGAGGTGTCGGGCTTGGGGTTTAGAATTGGATGGAAAGGCTGTTATGCGGGGTAGACCGCTTCAGGTGTTTAGGGTTTAGGGTTTAGGGTTTAGGGTTTAGGGTTTAGGGTTTAGGGTTTAGGGTTTAGGGTTTAGGGTCCAAACCCCCTAAGAGCTCTACACTCCAAACCCCTAAAGGCCCTAAGCCCCGAAACCCCAAAACCGTAGCTCAGAATCCCCCAAAACGGCAGCTCGGGGTTTCTAGGGATTGGGGTTTCTAGGGTTTAGGGTTTAGGGTTTAGGGTTTAGGGTTTGGGGTTCCGGGTTTAGGGTTTGGGGTTTTGGGGTTGCTTAGGGTTTGAAGCGTAGGATTTATGACGTCTCGTGTGGCTCAGGTCGTAGGATCTGGTCTTGGCTGGCCCCAAGCGAGTTTGCACTGTGAACTGAGCCCTCAACCCCCAAACCCTAAACCCGCACCCCAAACCCTAAACCCTATAACGTAGGGGTCGAAAGAATTACAATGATATTCCCTTATGGTCCCTCTGTAATTGCCATAATCACGCACAAAACCCTATTAGAAATCATTCAGTCCCCTATATTACCCCAAACCCCAAGCCCTAGACCCCAATCCCCGAATCCGGGGCCGCTTCTGCAGGCAACCTCGCTCCTTGTCGGCATGTGGGAGGTGTTGGAGGTTCTGGCTTGGGAGATTGGGGTGTCCGAAGTTCGGGGTACCTTATTTGGGTCCTTATTATATCGGGGGTCCCACCATTTTGGCGTCCTACCATTTTGGGGTCTGGTCCCTTGTTTTCGTAAACCCCCAGATTGGGAGGTCAGAAAGTCAAAGGAAGGTGGATGTTCAGGGTTTTTGGGGAAGATTGGTCGTCAGACTTCTTGCGTCATGCCAGATGGACAACAACTGGTCAGATCCGCGACTTCCGGGTTCCGGGTTTAGGGTTTAGGGTTTAGGGTTTAGGGTTTAGGGTGCATTTGGAGGGTTGTAGCACTGGCATGTGCACTTGCCGAGGAGAATTCAAGCAGCACTCGTCACAATAGCAGCCATAGAAGGTTTGCATCCCTAGCGAATGTCATCTTGTTTAGGGTTTAGGGTTTAGGGTTATTAGGGTTTAGGGTTTAGGGTTTAGGCTTGAGGCCCACTGACAAAGACCCCAAAGAGCTCAGGACCACCTCGCAGAGCGATTCGTCAACATCGTCTCAGGGTTATTGCCAGGACCCGGGGACAAGGGTTTCGGGTTTAGGGCAAACCCTAAACCTCAACCCGAAACCCGAAGCCCTAAACCCGCACCTTTTTAAGTCGGAATCGCTCCATGGAATTTGTCACCAGTCCTACCCAGAGCCCACTCTTCAAAGTTGTCCCGCAGCCTCAACTTGCCCATCTGCTTGACGCGTATAACTTTCAGGGGTCCAGGGTTTCGGGTTTAGGGTTTAGGGTTTAGGGTTTAGGGTTTTGGGTTTACCCTATACCCTTGACTTTACACCTCAACCTTGAATCCTCAACCCGAGACCGCTACACAATGCAATGCAGGACGACCCAGTAGGATGGTCGAGCACCGATGACACTCGTTGCGACTCATCCGCGACAGAGGTTTGAAGAGTTGGGGCTTAGGGCTTGGGAGTCTAGGACTCTCGGGTGTTAGGGTTCAGGGAGCTAGGGTTTGTGGCTCTAGGGTTTTGGGGGGTTTAGGGTTCCCGAAACCCTAAACCCTAAACTCTAAACCCTAAACCCTGGTGTTTGCGGCGGACGTGTGGGGTCCTCTTTGTCCCTTTTGGGGTACCTGGAATAGTGCGGGTCCTTCTCTTGAGGTACCCAAAAAAAGGACCGCTGCACTGAGACCTGGCCCACCTCAGAGGTTTAGGGTTTAGGGTTTAGGGTTCAGGGTTCAGGGTTCAGGGTTTAGGGTTTAGGGTTTAGGGTTTAGGGTTTAGGGCGTAGGGTTCAGGGTTTAGGGTGGTTTCAAGCCAAGGGTGTGCGGTTAAGGGTTGCGGGGATTTAGGGCTTTAGGGGCTAGAACGAACCTCAGGAAAAGCTCCGCAACTCTTAACCCCTAAGCCCCGAAGCCTATCAATCCCCCGAGCCTTGAAACCCCTACAAGCCCAACAAGCCCTACAAGCCCTGCAAGCCCCACAGGCCCTACAAGCCCTACAAGCCCTACAAGCCCTAAACACTAAACCCTAAACCCCCCCTTAAGAACCCCATAAGATGAGGCTGCAGATACTACATGCGGAGCTTCTGCAACCTCGATGGCAGCTATGGCCCGGGTTGGCAGAGCTCTTATGGCACCTACGACAACTGGGCCGTGAACGGTGCCCTGGCGCCCACCCGATCACGGAATGTTTTGCAGTTTCGGGGTTAGGGTTTAGGGTTTATGGTTTAGGGTTTTGGGTTTTGGGTTTTGCGGTTTAGTTTTTTTTTTTTTTTGTGTTGTGTGTGTGTGTTGTTTTTTTCTTTTTTTTTTTTTGGGGGGGGGGGGGTGGGGCGTTTAGGTTTTTTTTTTCTTGTGGGGGGGGGTCTGGGTTTGGAGGGTTTAGGATTTAGGGTTTTGGGGGTTTGCTTTTGGGGATTTGGGGTTTAGACCTTCTAGGGTAGATACAGCATGGGCAGGCCCTTAGGGCCTTAGGGCATGTTGGGTCATAGCAACCCACACCGGCGTTTAGGGCTTCGGGTCAGAGGCCGACTGCAAAACGCTGTGAGCTTTGGGGGCTTTGGGTTGCTAAACGCACGAAACCCCAAGCCCTAAAAGGTAGTTTCATGCGCTTTTGGAGGAATCGGTGCTGATCGAGCCTGTTGCGTGTGCGGCGGCGGGACAAACTACCAGTGCGGAGGCCCGAAGACTTATTTGACCGAAGGCTTTGGGGTTTGGGGTTTGGGGGGCTTCGGGATTCAGGGTTTACGGGTTGGAGTTGGGACGTTCCCCCCTCTTACTAATCGTCCTCCATAGGGATTATAGCACCCCCCCTCATTGTAATCCCTATGAAGAACTGTTAGTAGAAGGGGAACATCCCAAGGTTCGAGGGTTGAAGGGTTTATCTGAATACGGTCTCTGTTTAAGAGAGCCAGAAGAGGGTTAAGAAGGGTTCCCTTGTAAGGGTACCCTTAAAAGGGAACCCTTCTTAACCCTCTTCTGGCTCTCTTAAACAGAGACCGTATTCAGAGGGTCTATATCCCCAAGAGTCCGGAGTCCGGACCCTAATCCTATCCCCTAGGTTTCTGAATCAAGGTGTATGCTTCTGGCGGGCAAACCTGCGCCTGAGAGGGGCATCTAAATAGCTTCGAGTTGAAGGTACTGCGAAGAGAAGGGCTTTGGGGTTTAGGGTTTAGAGTTTTAGGGTTTCCGGACTGTAGCAAGAAGATGCAATAGACCCCTCAACCCCGCGGAATTGACAACAAGGTGCCTTGGGCGCATCGGTTAGAGCTCAGATTCTGGGGTGTGAGCTCTGCGCTGAAGTAATCTTAATCCGACACCCTTAACCCTAAGCCCTAACCCTAAACCCTAAACCCTAAACCCCTAAACCCCTGAACCCTAAACCCTAAACCCCTAGACCCTGGAAGGCGATGGCAAACCTTGCCTTGAAGTCGACCTCGTCACCTTCCTCCCCTGCAACTCGCGGGCCGAGAGCCTCTGCTTGCGCCTGGGTTGTGATTAGGGTTTAGGGTTTAGGGTTTAGGGTTTAGGGGTTAGGGGAAAGGGGTTTAGGAGGAGTTGAGGGTTAGGAGTTTAGGGCTTAGGGTTGCGTAGGGTTCTGTAGGGTCTGGGACTGTTTAGGGTTTCGGGTTCGGGCTTGTGGAGGCTTTCAGGCCAGCCCCCCGAACCCCAACCCTTCAACCACTGAACCCTGCACGCCCTAGCCCTAAACCCTAAACCCTAAACCCTAAACCCCAAACCCTAAACCCTAAACCCCTAACCCGCCCCCGAATTGGGCTCACACGGACAGCCTTGAAATCCAAAGAGGCCACTCTATGAGGCATGAACCCTTGACTGCCTTACCAAGCTGCGTTTGAGGGTTTTAGGGTTGCCGGATTAGGGTTTTAGGGTTCTAGGGGTTTTAGGGTTTTAGGGTTTTAGGGTTTTAAGGTTTTAGGGTCTAGGGTTATCAGTGCGAGTTGATGGCGGGCGATGTGAAGCAAAGTGATTTTGGGCTTTGGGTGGGTTCGGAGTCCTCGTCTACCACCCCTGAGGCTGCTCCCCTTCCTGGCAGCTTTCTTCCAGCTGCTTCAGTGAGTTCCGGCCGTCCCCACGACTTTTCGGCTACTTCTTCCTTGCTGGTTCTCCGTAGGGTATGCGGGACTTCGGTTCCTTCTCATACCTTATATAGACATATACCCTTAGAAAACCCTTTAAAGAGTTTTATAGGGCACTTACCATACCTTGCATAGAAATCCCCTTCTGAAATCCTTGAAGGGATTCTGTAGGGCACTTAGCTGCCCACTCCCTACGAAGAGCAACCAAGCCTCGGTCTCCTCCCTCGGTAAGGAGCAGATACTGAGCATCTTGAGGTCAGACCATTCAGTTCTCTCCTAAACCCTAAACCCTAAACCCCTAAACCCCTAAACCCTAAACCCTACCCTATGGGGGACAGCTTCTTCAACTCAAAGTTCAGGGTGTAGGCCGTAGGGGTGCGGTAGTTGCAGTTTAGGGGACCTTGCATCTGCATTGCCCGGCCTACAAAGTAGGTGTCGTGGGCTTCTTTGTGGAAGTCTGCCGCGATGTTCAGAGCTTCGACGCGTGGGTCGAATTCAAAATCTTCCAGTTGTTCAAGCTTCCCTGCTCTGAGACGCTTATGATTTTCATACTCTGGAAAAAGGTTATACTTTCAGGTATAAGTAGCTATAATAGGATCACTGCTGCCCTGAGACGTTTATGATTATCATACTCTGGATCTCTTGCCAAGTCTTGCAGATGACGTCGTTAGTGTCTCGAGTGTTGTTACAGCGTTGAAGGACACGAGCAGTCATTGCCTCCTGCTGTTGGGCTTCGAGCTTATGGAATAGAAGCCCTAGACCCTCAACTCGCTGTCGTGTGAGTTGCCGGAATGGTCGTCGGGATTTGTGTGCGAGTGGACAGGCTGTCAGGCTTGAGAGTGCCTCGGCCCCCTAAGTACTCGGAATGGGGGGGGGGGGGTCGATTCGCTGCGCATGCGCCCAGTAGTGCACAACGAATATCAAGGAGTAGCTTGCGAATCATCCCAAGCAGTCTGTCTGTCCTTTAGACTCAAGCCATGTGCTCAAGTCAAGCTAAGATGCGTTTGCAGAGAGTAGACTGGGTTTTGGAGTACTATAATTTAATACGGTTTTTGGTTCTGTGACTCCATTATAGCTACTTATACCTAAAAGTATATCCTTTTTTCCAGGGTCTATTCCATAGACTGGGCTAAACCCTGAACCCCAAACCCCTAAACCCTAATCCTAAACCCTAAGCCCTAGACCCTTTGAGAAGTTTCGCACATTGCCGCCCTTCAACGCAATGGTTTCTGACATTGACGCCGTATTAGCGCGGGTGAAAGCTCTGTTGCGCAATTTGGAGGCCCAGGGTCGACGGGTACGAATTTTCGATGGGTTTAGGGTTTAGGGTTTCGGGTTTAGGTAAACGGTTTAGGGTTAGTCCATGCTGTCCTAAGCCCGATAATGAAACCCCTTTTCAGGTAGCCGAGGGCCCAGGGCAGGCCCTTACTCCCTTTTTTAGGGCTTCGGCTCCCTTACAAGCCCCTTTTTTTTCACCAAGCACTCTTCTCATTCCTAGCTTACTTTTGGGTTTAGTAGACTAGATAACCCTTGCAGGTACACGAAACATCTCCTGTAGATCCAGTCAGTACCTACATGTCTGGATGAAAAGCTCGACGCCAGCTCCCGTCAGCTTGCATTACCCTAAATACCCCTACATAAACCCTTTTTCTGGATGATCATGTACGACCCACAAAACTTTAGTTACATGACGCCTGGGCTGCCGTAAACTGTATTCGTCCTTGAGGTGCATTGTGCATTCAGGTGGATTTTAGTTCTTTTCGCTCTCCAAGCGCGGCTAGCAACCCCAAGTCCGTACTCATGCTTCCTGTGTGCTGCTGCCTTCTAGCAATGCGACCATCAATGTCATGACCGTGATTATGGCATTGTTTGATCCTTTTCAAGTTGTACCTTGTAATTAGCTTTAATCCCCCGCCCGAAGAGCCACCCCCTCTAATGTTGAATAGTGACAATATTCCATGATTTCCATGTGTGTGTGTATGTATGTATGAATGTATGTATATATACATATATACGTATGTACGCATCTTTGCTGAATGTTCCGCCTCTGTGGGTTCTTACGGGAGGGGGCTGTTCCTATTTCCCTTGTTCCTATTTCCCTTGTTCTGGTGTCCCACCTTTTGCGGCGTAGGCCCTAAACCTGTTGTCACGGTTGCAGACAAGATGTGCAGAGACTGAGGTATGCAGATTGTTATTGTCAAAATTGTGCTTTCCAAGACGACAGGTAGTTAGGGAGGGGCTTTTGGTAGTTTCTGGGTACATGTGTAGTTTCTGGAATAAACTACTCTCTATATGAACCATCAACCATCAACCTATTTTCGATGAGTCACAAACAAAGGGGCCTCTGAGGCCAAAACTAACAGTCACGGACGCTACTCAGCGAAACGTTACAATGCATGTAGCAAAAACCTATCACAGATGTTTACTATACTCTCTCATGTTCTGATCTACCATGGCCTCTCATGCAATAGCACCAGTAGCTATGTGTGCAGCACAGGGAGAGACGTCCGCGCGCCTTGCTGCTCTGCACCTCAGCTTTGGATGCATTGCTGGGAGGGGCCAATGGGGGGACGGGGGACTTCCTTTTTCGAGAGCGAGACTTGGGGCTTTGGGTCAAGGTCTTGTCCAGTACGAAAACGAGTATGGTTGCTTGTGCTCGTAAAGGACTAAAGTGATGATTGCTGCAACTACTCCTCAATCAGTGCTGTTCCTTCGTACTACGGTGCTGCAACAGTCACAACTTGTTGGGTGCTTGCACACTCAGAGTATGCGCAGGGCACTCAACAGTTTAGGCACGATGCAACATACTTGTTTGCAGTTTGCTTTGCAGAGTAAGGCTGCAATCTCTCGGAGAAATGGATCAAGACTCTTTGGCCCGTTTCCTGGAGATTGCGGAGGCCCAAACACAACCCGGCAGCCCAGTGCGATCTGAGCCCAGCTGCATCTTTGCCTCCGTCCTGGCCATTGGTAATGCCGGAGGAGATCGGAACGACAGCTGTCGTCGTCGTCCGTCGTCGTCGTCATGGTTGTTGCTCTGTTGGTGTTGTTGTCGTAGTGGTTGTGATTGTCGTGGTTGTGGTTGTCGCTGTCGTTGTCGTTGTCGACGTTAGCTGTTGCTATGGTTGCGGTTGTCGTCGTCGTTGTCGTCGTGGCGCTTTTGTTATTTTGTCATTTTTATAGTTATTGTTATTGCTCGTGTTCTTGTTCGTGTTCTTGTTATTGTTATTGTTCTTGTTTTCCTGTTATTGTTCTCCTGTTATTGTTCTTCTGTTCCTTTTCTTGTTCTCGTTATTGTTCTTGTTCTTGGCGGTGGTGGTCGCTGCTGGTGCTGCTGGTGCTCATCCGGCTGGTGCGGCTGGTTTCGTGCTGAGGGTGGTGGTGGAGAGTGGGTGGTATGTGGTGTTGGTGGAGCTGCTGCTGTTGATTCTTGTGCTGCTGCTTTGTTGCTGCGCTTTTGCTGCCGCGTCCTCTGCTTCTGTTGTTCCCGTAGTTATGGTGCTGGTTCTTGTTGTTTTCCTGCTGTCGTTCCACAAGTCATGTCAGTCGATTGTGTGTGTGTGTGCGCGTTATCACTGTGATCATGTTTTTTGTTCTCACTGCTTCTAGGTGACTAGTGCCATTATGTTGCTACCGTTGTCGCTATCACTGCGTTTGCCGGAGGAGAGGAGGATGAAGATGCCGCCTGCATCCAAGAGGCTGACGTTGAAATTTTAAGGTTCAGGGTTTAGGGTTTAGGCGTTACACACTCGCAGCCTGAACTGTTGCCCTGAAGGTTGAGTTGATCGAGGAAGCAGCCATCCGGGCAGGAGTGACAAAGTGCAATCTATTGAAGAATCCGCTGCGCGATGGGTTTCTGGACGCCATTGATGATTTCATTCTTGACATGTGCACGGTTGGGTCTGAGGGCTCAGCTCATTTGTTCTACTACGCTGGGGATGGCTGCGAGATACAGTGCTTCCGCTTCATTCCGATAGATGCGACAAGGCCAGATAGGGATTACATCGCGCTTGGAGATATCATGGAGAGGATTGACGAAAAAGTCCAGGGCCGCAGCATCGTCTTCTGCATTGACGCCTGCCGCAATAACCCTGACAAGGAGACCGTCCGAGATAAGTTCGACAACGAGCGCGGGAGCAAAAACAGATATTTTCTCCTGTTTCGCACTTCAGCTGGAAATGAGATTAACGAGTTGAAGGAGGAAGAATGCCTCTCAGTCTTTGCGCAGACAGTCCGGGAGTTCATTCCGGAGTTGCACCAATCTGAGACTTGCCTGTCAGGTGGGCATAAGGAATACGAAGCTATTTCCATAAGAACAGAAGGATGATTAAGCCTTAAGCAGCACTGCAATTGGGCACCTCTAAGGAGATGATTCCAGATTGGATTGAACAGATCACGCAGGCTATCAGGAGCAAAGAACCGCGAGAAGACCCATGGTGACTGGGTGTTGACGAGAAAACTCCCCTAAACCCTATACTCTAAACCCCGAACCCTAGACTCAAACCCTGTTTCTACTCCCTCAACCCTAAACCCGGAACCCTAAACCCTAACCCTAAACCCTAAATAACCCTAAACCCTCAACCTTCTTTGTGCATGAGTGTTCAGTTCCACTCAGGTACCTCTGCAGCCCCCCAGTTCCCGGCTCCTTCCGCAGCGTCCGCAGCTACTCCGCCAGTAGCAGCTCCTCTAGGTCTCCAATGCCTGGGACTGCCACTTGGGCTGGGTTTAGGGTTTAGGGTTTAGGGTTTAGGGTTCAGGATTCAGGGTTTAGGGTTTAGGGTTAAGGGTTAAGGCGTTATGGTTTGGAGGTTTAGGGTTTGGTTTTTTTAGCGTTTCGGGTTTAGTGTTTAGGGTTCAGGAGTTGGGGTGGGAATAGATGGCAGGAGTTGTCGTCGTCGCAGTAGGACGACGACGAAGTGCCTAAGGAACGGTAAAGCACTGGCAGGGGGTAGTAGTAGTAGTAGTAGTAGTAGTAGTAGTAGTAGTAGTAGTAGTAGTAGTAGTAGTAGTAGTAGTAGTAGTAGCAGTAGCAGTAGCAGTAGCAGTAGCAGTAGCAGTAGCCGTAGCAGTAGTTGTAGTAGTCGTCGTAGTAGTAGTAGTACTAGTTGTCGTCGTCGTAGTAGTAGTAGTATTAGTAATAGTAGTAGCAGTAGCAGTAGCTGTAGCTGTAGCAGTAGTAGACGTAGCAGCAGTAGCAGTTGCAGTAGCAGTAGCAGTAGTAGAAGAAGAAGTAGTAGTAGTTGTTGTTGTTGTTGTCGTCGTAGTAGTAGTAGTAGAGTAGGTCACTATCATTGTTGTTCTTGTTGAGGCCAACTGCTCCAAGGGCTACAGCATCTTTCCGGAGAGGCACAGCCCTGCGATCAGCCCACTGGACCCTCAAGATCCGGACCAATTCTACGAGGCGAGCATCATCAGAATGGGCGTCCTTCCCTTTCCTTTCTTTTCTCTCTAACCCTTCATGCCTGTCTCTGTTTGTTGCTCTCTCTCCCTCTCTCTGTCTCTCTCTCTCTCTCTCTCTTTCTCTTTGTCTCTCTTTCTCTTTGTCTCTCATTCCCTTACTAGTTCTGCCCCGGTCTGTGTCAGAGGTCTTTGTTTCAGGTTCCTTCATGGCACGTGTTGCTCACATTAGTTGTAGCCAAAGGGAGGCCAGGGGACCAGGTTTCGCGTGGAAGGCCGCAAGGCTTGGAGGCCAACAAACTGTAGCCACACGGAATTCGAACATACACGCCCCTTTGGTTTCAAACAAAAACATTGAGCCCTCGCCGCAAGAACAGGACCTACACCCTAAACCTTAAACCCTGAACCCTGAACCCTAAACCTTGAGTCCTCAGCCAGAAAGCCCGGGCATCCAGGTCACCGACATTCGCAAGGCGCACCGACGGCGAGTTAATCGCATGACGGCCTCCACGGTAGACATCGCCTGCAGCTTGTCTTTGGGACTGTGGGTTTTGCTAAATGACTGCGGTAGTTCGCACGCTCTTGCTTTTTTCGCACTGCCACGACAAGGGAAGTTGTGATGGGTAAACTTGCCATGAAAACTGTTGTTAGTGCCGGTCTTATTGCCTTGTCTATGAGAAGTTGTTGCAACCTAAACCCTAAACCCTAAACCCTAAACCCTAAACCCTAAACCCTAAACCCTAAACCCTAAACCCTAAACCCTAAACCCTAAACCCTAAACCCTAAACCCTAACCTTCTTCGAGGTATCATCCTCGGGAGCACGGAAGGCAGATCGGCGGCAGATGTCCAGAGAGACTTCGCCATACGGGGCATGGGCCCCAACTATCTGATCACGCTCGAAGGCCGCCGGACAGTCCTGGTCCGGGAGGAGTTTCTTGGGTTTAGGGTTTAGGGTTTAGGGTTTAGGGTTTAGGGTTTAAGGCTTAGGGTAACCTTAGTAGCTGAGTGAGTACACTTTACACTTCTTGGGATTCCATAACCCCCCAAAAGAACTGAAAGTGTACACTTTTTGGGGGCTTATGAACTCAGCAACCCGAAACCCTAAACCCTGGGGCCTATGAACTCAGCAGCTAAGGTTTTGTGCCTGGGACTACAACCTGGCCTGCTGGCATGCGGAGGAAGTGGGGGGAGTCGGGCACATCCCCGGCACCGGCAAAATCAACGAGGCCAGCTAGGGGTTTAGGGTTTAGGGTTTCGGGTTTCGGATTTAGGGTGATTTTCCTTGTTTGTGGGGCTCAGGGTACGGCACGATTCGCAAATGTCAGCACTTTCCCCTGTGAACAAGGTGAAGTCCTACTCAGTGTCGATCGCCTTGGAAGGCGATGGCGAGGAGCCTTACACAGATGCACAGTACAGCAACCTCATCAAGCTGCTGAAGAACCTCATCACGACATACCAGGCGCCGGGCGATACACCTTCTGCAATCGCTACCGGTCATCAAAAGCTATAATGTCAGTAGCAAGAAGGTCTGCAGCACCAACCATAGCAACAAGAAGAACCATGACACCGGAATGCTACAGACGGGATCTTTGTTCCTTTGGGCCCATGTTTAACATATATACAACCATGGGTTCGCAGAGATATAGGGGTCGGAGTAAGTACTTAATTATAGTATTCTCTCATGGTCCCTTGATAAGTTATAAGCATACGATGATATTCGAGAACAGCCATCAGCTCACAACACGGGTGTTCATCGTTTGGGGTGAATGATGATAGCGCTGCCCCGAGCAACGGTAACAGCGACGGCAATCATATTGCCATGATTTCAATGATCGCCGCCCTGCTGCCAGCAAACATACTGGGAAGCGTTTGAAACAACAAGACCTTAGAACCATATTAGGGCGCTTAGAGGGCTTATAAGTGGGTTAGAAGCACAGTTATTGGTCAACAAGTACCATGAACCTCCAAGAAGAAGGGCCTACCCCTAAACCCTAAACCCTAAACCCTAAACCCTAAACCCTAAACCCTAAACCCTAAACCCTAAACCCTAAACCCTAAACCCTAAACCCTTGCAGGTGAAACTCTGAACCCTGAACCCTGAACCCTAAACCCTAAACCCTTGCAGGTGAAACTCTGGAACGTGGTGGGTGCTGGGGAGATCATGCAGCCTCCACCCAAGGCACCCCAACCCGGCCCCTGCTTCGAGTCGCGCGGATTGCATGGAGCGCGTCCGGGTGGGCTGTGTGATGTTTAGGGTTTAGGGTTTAGGGTTTAGGGTTTAGGGTTTAGGGTTTAGGGTTTAGGGTTTGGGGTTTGGGGGTTTGGGGTTTGGGGTTTTAGACCCGAAGCCCCAAACCCCAAACCCCAGGGCCTATGAACCCAGCAACTCATTAGCACAGGCCATGGATCTGGCATGTTTAAGTGTTGACCATATGCGCGTGGAAGCTGTAACTCACCCCAGACTCTGGCCGTGTGTAGGGTTTAGGGTTTAGGGTTTAAGGTTTACGGTTTAGGGTTTGGGGTTTAGGGTTTGTCCCAAACCCGGTGATGCCTGACGAGTAGTTGCACTGGGCCGGATACCAGAAAACAAGGGGAGTGCAACTCCAGGAGGCCCCAAATGCAGATAGCAATTAGTGCACTCGTTGCATTGAGGTTTCCGGAGATGGTGCTACTTGAGTGAGAACACGAACACAAGCTTTTTCAGCCATAAAACTTGTTGCCAACAGTTGGTCATAGACCAGTAACGGTTGTTCAGTAACAGTACTTGCAGCAATACGACCCCAAACCCTAAACCTTAAACCCTAAACCCTGCGCCCTAAACCTGAACCCAGGTGGAGTCGCCTCGAAGCTGCGGGCTGCGCGCTTGGCGTTCTCCCCCAGACCCAGGCGCGCGCGTGCCCGCGTGTCGAAGAATTTTAAGAAATCATCAGGGGGATGGTTTTTGGGGTTTCTATACGGAATATTCAAGGAACCATCAAGATGGGAGTCTGGGACTATGAATTCTACCCACTAACGTCTCCAGGCGTTGCGTTCTGTTTTTATGTATATGTCATCCTGTGCATACACACAGGTATGATACTCTATTCAAATGCTTAGGCAAGACTCTGACTGGGTCTCGGTAGGTACAATTGCACATTGCAACATACTGTATGGTGTCTGGGATAGTGAAACAGCCGTGCACTAGTACGTGCTGTGTTATGCGGTATAGTAATACTTTCGAGGAATCATCTTATTAGGTGTTGCCAGAACCAGATCGTTCCTCACGGGTAGCTGGAGAGGGGGGGGCGGGGCGTTAAAGATACGTTGTGGTATTGGGAACTTCGGGAGATGCTCCAGTCTGCACACGGTGGTCAGAGGCACATTTGGGAGCTCAAACGTTGAAAGGAATCCAAAGCTATGCGATCCCAAGCAGGAAACTTTGCAAAAACTCCCCATCCATTTTGGCTCACTAGTCCTTAGCTCCATATCCCAGCATGCACTGTAGTGTAAGCTCTTCAATAGTTTAGGTAGAGGTTGCTCTGGGCCTAAACCAGGAGCAGGGCCAGTCCAAGCAGTTTGAGCTCAAGGCCTTGCTCCAGGAGTGGGGCTACGCAGCAAGGCCGCATTAGCCCCGTAAGTCAGGCGTTTAGGGTTTGGGTTAGGGTTTAGGGTTGAGGGTTGAGGGTTATGGTGTAGGGATTGTAGGGATTGTAGGGTTTAGGGTTTAGGGTTTTAGGTTCAGGATTAAGGTTTAGGGCTTTGGGCCTAGGGCTATAGAGATTTTTCGTGTGAGTTTAGGTGCTAGGGAGAATACAGGGTATAGAATTGGGAAGGCTTTGGGAGCAACGTAGCAGTGCTGCCAGACATTGTGGTTGTGGTCGTACAATGTTAGTGTAGAATGGACTACAACATGCTTCAGTTGTAGATTGTTTAGAAACCGTACACCCTAAACCCGAAACCCTAAACCCTAAACCCTAAACCCTAAACCCGTTTTCTTCCAACGGCCCACCAAATCCTTAGCAACCCTACACCAGCAATGGCATCGCAAAGCTTTGTAATCTCCATCTGTCAGCTGCTGTGGAGCTTTTCGAGGCTTTGCTGAGGTCCCTTCCAGGCCCAAGCGTACGCACGCAAGCTTGATGTATTGTCATGCCCGAAAGTTTATCGGCCGTAGATATGTCTCTCTGTGTGTGTGTGTGTGTCTTTCTCTTTTTGCTCGCTCGACTCGATACCTATTGCCCCTTTCGGGAGTATATGTGTTTAATCCTGATTTGGGCACGGGCCTCCCCAGATCTTCCAAAACCCCTTAGTTAAGGAATTTTCCCTAATTCGTACTAAGGATCCTGATTATGAATTAGGGTATGTTCCTCAATTAAGGGGTTTTGGAAGATCTGGGAACACGAATATGTTCCCAACAACGGTCCTTTTGTCTTCCGAGGGGTCGAAGGACTAATATGAAGCAGGGCTCATACTACTGATTTTGTTGAGTGTATATGAGGTTCCTTTTTAATGTTGGTGTTTGTATATATTGGGTGTCCTTTGGGGATACAAGAAATATAAGCCCTACTTCATATGAGTTGTACATACATTTTCCCACCCTGTAGATCTCGGTCCTATCTTGAGGGCTTAAGGTCTAGGAGTTAGGGCCCGAATCCCAGAGATTCCCTAAACCCTAAACCCTAAACCCTAATCCCTAAACCCTAACCCTCCTTAAGGCCTGGGGAGATGACAACAAGGGCTTCCCGCGCCGGCTGCGGGCTTTCCGACAGCGGTACCGCGTGCAGGCTCTTGGGCAGGTGTAAGGGAGACTGAAAAGGCCCGTTTAGGGCTTAGGGTTTGGGGTTTAGGGTTTGGGGTTTCGGGTTCAGGGTTCAGGGTTTGGTTTGTTGTTTGGGGTTTGGGCTTTGGGCTTAGGGCCGTTTAGGGTTCGGGGTTTAGGGCTTATTTCGGGTTTAGGGTTAGCTGGCGTTTCAAGGAATGGATCTCTTGAGCTATGTAGGGATCGGTACTATGAAACAGTGGAATATTCCTTTAGGTTTGGTATTGTCTTGTTGTTGCCCGGCTGTTGCGGCGGATATCAACGGACTGTTGTTCTAGTATTGCTACTCTTCTCACTTTTGCGAGTACAACTTGCGATGTTCCCCCTTCTACTAACAGTCCTTGATAGGGTTTATAATTGGGGGGGACCCTAAACCCTAAACCCTAAACCCTAAACCCTAAACCCTAAACCCTAAACCCTACTAATCCCTAATCCCTAAACCCTAAACCCTAAACCCTACACTTCCCACGAAGGAGCCGGAAGAGGGCTACGATTTGTCGCTTCACGACACGGCCACTTGGCTGATCCAAGTTCGCTAAACCCTAAACCCTAAACCCTAAACCCTAAACCCTAAACCCTAAACCCTAAACCCTAAAGCCTAAAGCCTAAAGCCTAAAGCCTAAAGCCTAAAGCCTAAAGCCTAAAGCCTAAAGCCTAAAGCCTAAAGCCTAAAGCCTAAAGCCTAAAGCCTAATAGAAATTGTACGCGTTTCATTACGAGCAGCTCGTGAAATAACCCTTCATCCTTCACAGTGCACAAATCAGACAAAAGCATGGCTTGCAGGGTACCAAAAAAGACCTTGAGCCCCGAAAGATACCAAAACAACCCCAAACCCCCCGACAAAACCTCCCCGAATTTCATCAAAAGTAGAAAACAAAACCCCCAAAACCCGGCAAGACCCGGGAAACCCCCCAAAACACCCCAAAACTCCGGACACAACCCCTATGCAATTTCTATAAACCCTAAACCCTAGTCCCAGGGAGTTTCAAGGAGCTATCTCTTGTACCAGAAGCTAGAAAGTGGAGTGTGAGACCATGTTGTGTGGTTGGGCGCCACGGTGGCGCCCACACTGCCAGGGTGCAGGGGTTAGGGTTTAGGGTTTGGGGGTTGGGGGCGTATAGAAACTGTATCGGTTTTGGGTCCCAGTAGTGCTTTGATCTTACAACCAGGCGTCAGAAAGGGGAGCCTCTCGTTCAAAACCTTTCGGTCATACTGAGACCCAATCCGTATACAATTTCCGTTTGACACAAACTTGTGCTCCCATTGATTACAAGACAGGGGCAAGAGCAACTGCCGCTTCAAGAAGTATAAAGAAGAAGTCCGAGGCCCGGGCGGGCGGGCAGTACAACCACCCCTAGTTTCCGGATATATGCCCACCCTTCAAAAGAGACTAGAAACTACTCGAAGGTTCCCGAAAAAAAACTTGCCTTCAAAACGCTTCGTTCCAAAACGTTATTGGGACCAAAAACCTATACAATTTGCATAAAATATAAACCCTACACTTGCCCTAAACCCTAAACTGCCAAACCTTAAACCCTAAACCCTGAACCGCTTTCAAGGATTTTCTCAGTCAGAACCTCTCCCGAGGCGGCAGTCCGGTCCCTCATCGAACAGAGGCCTGCTGTTTGCTTAACAACCCTCAGGTTCAGCGTTTAGGCCCTCCCATACGCTATTTGCCGAAGAACCCTAAACCCTAAATCCGAAACCCTGTGCTTCTTCAACGCAGCAATAGGCTTCCAAGGTGGAAAACGTCCCTGCTATCGCTTCAGAACCCCCCAGCAAATTGAAAAAAACTTGCTTCGAGGGCATTATAGGGATCATTGTCTTTTTGAGGGGGAAGGGGTGTTTTTTAAGCAGACCGATATAGGCTGTATAGTGATGATGTAGGGATCGCACAGCCGCTAAGCAGTGCCGTTAACATAACATGACAGGTCAAGCTTTCTTGCTACCAGCCCTAAACCCTAAACTTTAAACCCTCAACCCTAAGCCCCAAGCACCCTAAACCCTAAACCCTAAACCCTAAACCCTAAACCCTAAACCCTAAACCCTAAACCCTAAACTTTAAGCCCTCAACCCTAAGCCCCAAGCACCAAAATTCCTGAGTGCATCATCCCGGAAGCTGCATAGGCCATGCGGTAATGATTAGATACAGCGGTCACGTGATTACTACGTAAGCTTTTATTCAGTGAGATGATCAGCTCCGTTTGCCAGACCGCCCGTTGAATGTAGACAGCTTCTCCATCGCATAGCGTCGGATCACCCCAGAATTACGACCCTTGTATGTTACCTATACAACCCTTACATGGCCTAGGCAGAGCCTGACCCTATGTCACCGAGATACATCTCCCCAGCAGTCGCTATATGTCATCCTTATTGCACCCCCCCCCCACCCAAAAAAGTACGTAAA